CGGGAGATGAGGCGGGCGGGAGCACGGGGGCCCAGGGGTTGGGTGGACAGGCTTCGGGGGACCTCTGGGGTGGGCCAGAAGTTGGGCACCCTGGCCTCCAGCTGGACCAGCTGCCACGCCCGCCCGCATCCCCGGAGTGGGCCCAGGTGCAGAGAGCAGGAACCTGGTCTCCCACCTGGAGCCCTGCACCAGGTGAGCGCAGGTCTCCATTAGAGAAGAGTCCTGTTGTTTTAGTGGACTGAATTAGGAGGGAAAAATATCATTCTTTTTAATATATAAAGAAAAGAAAAATGTAAAACAGTTTTGGGAATTCACAGGGCTATTTTGCCAGGGAGCTGTAAGAAGTCAGTGTTGGTGCCCACACATTACAGGCTCAGGCTTTGGCCTGGACCATGGGTGTGTAGTGTAAGGGTCCTGCGGAGTATGGGAGGGAGAGACCACACAAGAGACTGGCTTCATGCAATTGGCAAAAGGGGATTTATTGAACCAGCATGCTGGGGCTCAAGGCTCACTCAGGAAGGGAGAGCAGAGCTTAAGTACACTTTTTTTTGGGGGGGGGGCTTTGCATACATCAGAACAAATCATCTTGAGGCGCAGGAAAATTGAACAACTCTGAGCCATGATGAGTACATTCATTGGCCGGAACAGTCTGGGCAGGGGTGATTGGTCACTACTAAGCACGGGACACATTTAAACTGATTGGTTTTGTGGCCTGGATGCTTACCTAAGGAGCTATTTGGAGCCTTTAGCTAATAAACAACCAGGGAATCATTGGAAATATTTACTGGGCAGTTCAAGTATTGTCCTAACAGCTACAGAGATTACAGGTTCTGGGGGTAGCAGAGGAATTTTAACAATACCTGACCTATTATTTTTTTTTTTAACCCAAGCCTTTCAATTTAGAAACCTTACAATACCCAGTCTTTTACACTTTAACTCAGACTCATGCAGCTTAGAATCAGCTTAGAAATTTTACCTTTACAGTAGTAACACAGGGAAGGTTTGGTTGGAAATCTCAAGGTAAATTGGGGACATGTTGTGATATGTTTATTAGACATTAAAGAGGAAATGTCCAGTAGGCTGGCATTCAAGTAGAGAGGAATTTGGTAGTCATCTGTTTTCATCATTTGAAATCGCAAGATTAGATTAACCAGGAAAGCAGAGCTTCAGTAATCCCTGCGGCACCAACCTTTTCATGTCCAGGGGGTGAGAGTCAGGGAAGCCCGGTGAAGACCAGATCTGTGCTGAGGATTTGGAGGAATGTTAAAGGAGCACTGGGAATTGATGATTGGATGTGGCGAAACGATTTACTGGTGATTGACAAACTATCTCAGGAGACATGGGGAGAAATGACTAATGGCAGAATTTTTCAAAATTCTGATTAATTATGGAGTCTGAAAAGAGGTATTGACTTCCATTTCTTGCCCAAACACACATTTACAAGACAAAGACAAAACCCACAAAGAATGAAGATACCAGTTAGCAAGAGAGTCTGGGAGTGGATGGAAGAATGATAACTGACCTAGCAAACCAACAAAGTCAAAATCTATGTATGTGGCTTAAACGAATAAAGAGACCACTCTTGTCAATAAATCCCAGGAAGGTTCAAAAAACTGGAAACCTGCCAGTTGAGTCCTCCTCAAAGTTAAAACTGTTTGGGGTAGTTTAATAGCAATAAAAACTGGAATGATAATAATTTTTTTAAAAAAAGTCCAGCCCAATAAATTGCGTAGGGAACAAGAGGAAGCAAAAAGATCACATGTTTGGGAATTTGAGAACACCTGCCATAGAAATGATTTTGAAATTTTCAATAAACAGCCAGTTGCAGTGGGACATACCGGTAATACCAGCAGCTTAGGAGGCTGAGGCAGGAAGATCACAAAGCCAGCCTCAGCACCTTAGCAAGACCCTCCCTCTAAATAAAAAAAAAAGAAAGAGGCTGGGGATGTGGTTAAGCACACCTAGGTTCAATCCTGATAACCAAAAATAATAATAAAAAGCAAACAAAAGGGAATGATTTCCAGTCTATAATGCTATTCCCATTCAAATGATGAATCAAATTTAAGGATAGAAATAAAGACATTTTAGATATGTGAGCTCAAGCTATTAGAACTAAGCTCCATCAAAATGAGAAAGCAGGAAGATATGACTTAGAATCTAGGAAATGTCCAAGCTGTGGCAGGAAGACCTTGGAGGATGGTATTCCACAGAAAGTGGAGCTAGCATTTTATCTGATGCATATGATTGTGTCACAAGAAGCTTTATTTACTCTTAGGGTAGAGAATTTTGAGTGAAGTTGCAATAGGAACAGAGAAAAACAAGCAAATTTAAAAAAATAAGGCAATTATTAACTTTAGGAAAAAATCAAAAGTTGTACCTTAAAAAAAATAAATAAATAAAAAAGTTCAGCAGCCAGTAGTAAATATGAACTCAAAATGGAGATTTCAGCCAACTTGTTACACTGTTACATATTACAGGAAAAGAAATATAGGTATGTGTGAATGGTATACATTGCAGGGAAGACAGGATGGAGAGCTAACTCCTCTCCCATTATAGGAAGTTAACAATGTCTGAAATCAAGATTAAGAAGTAACATTAAATATCTGTTGATGAACATGAAGTGATTCACTGAAGAAATCCGTAAGAGTAGTGTTGGAATATAGGGATTGCCTGGCAGATCTGGTGAGGTTAGATGGTACTTGTTTCCTCATTGAAATATGTAGGGTCATTATCAAACAATATTGGAGGTTTGAAGAGAACCAGAAGACATGAAATAGTCTTCCAGGATTATAATTGGGAAATATGAGTATCAATTTAAGATTGGTAGTCATAATGTCACCAAGTCTGTTAATACTTTTCTCAAATTCATTCTCTTGTTCCATAGCAGCTGCTAGAACTCAGGCTTACAAACCTGCCTCTCCAACCTGGAGAGCTAGAACACTCACTTCTCAAGATTCCTGACTCATCTTCCCTCTTCCACATGGAACCATCTAAGAGCACAGAAAAATTAGTCACTTCCCTGTCTAATCTGATTCCCAAGCACTCAGAATATGGTCTGACCCTGCCTACCTGTTCCTTTCACATGGCCACACAACCAAACTGGTGCCTCTGGGCTTTCTTCATGTCCTCTCAAGTAAACTCTCCCATCCGTCCCAGCTTCCAGTCCAGGAATACCTATCAATGTACATTGTCAAGAGTCCGGTGTATATACACCTACATCTGTTAGCTCTCATGTGAGTTGGGTGCTCCTGACAGGCAGGGCTCCTATGCCTTACCCATCCCTACATAGCTGACACATAGGCACATCAGGGTCTGTGACTTTGTGGTGACAATTATCTTGTTACACATGGAAATATAAGCTGCAAACAACTTCAACATTTGCAGGTGGGTGGGTGACAGTCTGAGATCGGGAAACATAAGAATATTTCACTCTGCAAACTATGTAGGATCTGAAATTCAATTCAGATGGTTTATTTTTTTGCATGATTAATCACATTTTCAACAGTACATCAAGCATCTAAGAATAACATAATTTTGA